GTCTCTCGCATTCCCCCGCCCCACACACACTCTCCCTCTCTCCCTCTCTCCCTCTCTCTCTCTCTCTCTCTCTCTCTCTCTCTCTCTCTCATTCAGCTCAGCTCCAGCAATGAACTGCTACAATTAAACACTTATTTTCACATAGCTATGAGATTCGTTAAACATGGACGCGCGTACAGTTGCCGTACTGTATTAAAGCTTTAATCAGGATAAAACCGTATATTAAAAGCTAACATAAGCAGTAGCATTTACAAATAACAGTGTATCTAAAAGTATGAGACAACAACAAAAAAACCATAGGCCTACTATTAAAAGCCATGCTTGCACAGGTTCTGCGTCAACTGGGCTCAAACTGATAAGCGATATTAACGATGCCGCTGTTTACTATACAACCGGAGCACATGCAGCTGAGGTGAGTTTAGCCAATCACAACACACTGGGCTAGATAACCAATCAGAGCCCATCACCTATTTCCGAGGGAGGGGCTTCATAAAAGAAGGAAATGATCAGTGCGTTTTTCAGAGAAGGGACAGAGCGGTGTGGAATAAAGGTAAATTATGTGAAAAATAATGCGTTTTTTTAAAAACGAAGCATTAACACATGTTAGACTGCACCCCATAAACACAATCAATCCTAGAAAAAAATCAGTGAACCACCCCTTTGAGAATAGCTGGAAAAGTGCCCTTTGAAGCAGTGTATTTCCAAATTATTTATAATGGCACTAACATAAGATGAGATCTTTATTGTGATGCGAATGTTACTCTCACAGTTAAGTGAAAAATTTCCCTCATGCCATTCAAAAGCAAAAGGCTGAATTTTGAATTGGAGCATTTAAGATTAATAAAAGGACACAAAAGGCAGTAAAAGTATTATAAAAGTGCTCAAAATGACTTGTGTTTCATATTTTCTCCAGCTGTATGATAGTTTTATATGATGAACAGATTGAATTCATTATTGAATCTTGACTTGTTAACATGGTCACTGCCTTCCTTGGGTTTCAAAATGAAAGAACCTTTAAATGAATATCATTATTAAAGCACATCATAAAGGTAAATGTTTAGGAACAGAGGTTGCTTTTGATCGAAGTCTGTATTACTGATTTATCACTTTCTGACCAGGTGTCTCTTCTCTCTTCCTTTTTGCTGGTCACAGAAACGCAGTCCGGTAAGTGTATTTTAACATTATTTTTCTGTTCCCCAAGTGCTTGAACCACTTTGTGATTCAGTTGCAACAGTTATACAGGAGTAGATTAGATGTTTAGAGAGACATGATACTTCCATGTAATGATATTTCTGTATAGAAATGCAAAGGTCAGAATCAGTATCAGTTTTTTATTATTAAAGTATAATAATGACTACTTTTTATAGGCATCACTATTAGTTAACTTTAGCACTTTTATTCACGTTCTCTTTCACTAAGCTGGTCTTTTTTTTAAGCTAATTAAAAGGCCCGTGTGAATAGAAATAATGCTTACTCATGTGCTATACACCCATGTGACCAAAAATGCTTGCTTTGGAGATCAAACTAATGCCTTTTTATCATTTGTAGTCTGGGTGTTGTAGAGCCTTAGCATAAAGCAAGTTCTTAATCTAAATTTGACTTATCTAAATCTGAAACTATTATCTGAATTATCATCTGAATAAAATATTTCATATTTTAGTACAAAGAATGCCATTTTGACGATTGAAAAACGAATGCTGTGTTCTTGTATTTGAAATTCCCAGCCACCATGAAGACCCTGATGTAATAACATTTATGACAGTCTTATTTGTTACTAATGCATCAGTGAGTCAGATAAGATTGTTCACCACCTGAGTCAATCAGAGGAATCAGCTTTTCTGTCAGCTGTAGAATGCATTATGAAGTGGCTATTTACAAGGCATCAAGGCAATGTCTCTGTCTGAATTTGCCTCACCATTCCCTTGATGAAATTGACCTCAAATGCACACTTCTCAGCTGATGAGCAATATGGTGTTATGAGCTTTTAGTCTTATGAATGTTTTGGCCTTCTGTTTGTTTTAGGGGCTGGCAAAAAGAAATCCCGGTAAGTATATGCAATGCAATTTATTCTTGGGTTTATGACTTTGATGTAAATTCAAATCTGACACTAAATAGTTGTCTGGAATTAAAATGTGAATATAAATGTGTGCTTGCATGTGTATGAGTAGGTGCAGTTTATTTGTGTTCATTTGATCATGCTGTTATTCTCAGGTGAAGAAATTGCACGACCGAGACGTCCTGTTCCAGCGCCTGCACCAGCTCCCATCCCTTCCCCGACACCTGCACCCCCTCCTGAGCCTGCTAGGTATCTATACACACGTTTACAGACTTAATGAAACAGTAATTTTGTCTGTTGTTTCCATGGTTATTATTACAAATACAACTAGCAAAAATAATTTATTTACTAAAATAAAACAAAAAAGTGAATGTCTAAAACTCAGGTTGCTTTTTGCAGGTAAGTTACATGCTGTTCAATGTTACAAAAGTTGCATTTTGATTCTAAATGTAGTGGTAAATATTTGCAGATAATTTTATTATCTGCAAGTATGCCATGCCATTGTGAATTTGACAAAGAAACTGATAATCTGAATGGTATTATTTTGAGTGTGGTGCTGGTGCAGTGTAAAATGCAGTGTGCATCATTACATGTAGATGGAACAATTTGTGCTGGAACTAAAATGTCTAGAATTGAAACTAAACAAAAAAAACTAAACATATTTATTTTTAACAAATACAAATAAAATACAAAAGTATTTATGCACCGTTTTTATCCAATTAAACTATGGAAAACTTAAATTGAAAACCAAAACAGAAAACAGAATAAAAAAATTAAAAAAATAGTTACATTTTAAAAAGTGTGGCTATACAGTATATAACCCTGGTTTTTGTGGCTTAGCATTGTTTAAACATTTGTTGATGTTTAAGGGAGTCTAAATGGATTATGTTAGACAATTTGAGAATTGCAGCCTGGTGTGCATCTGTGTGGATGAGTCATGCAAATCTGGCTTAATTCTCCTCCATTTCAGTAATAAGAAATCTCCAGTGCCAGAGGATGCAACAGCCTTATTCGGCCCTCCGCTGGAGACAGCCTTTGATGAGCAGAAGACCACTGAAGGTACTGTTTAATGAAACCGCTAATTACTTACCCCTTAGTGCTGCTTATAGATGTTGATCTTTCATTTATAAAATCACTGAAATTTAAACATTCACAATCTAACAGAACCTGATCACAGCCCAGATTCTTTATGTCAATGTCATTCACTTGAACAAAAATTCATTTTTCTATGTCATATACAGTATGTATCTTCAAGGGACTCACAGAGGGTATAAAGATGACATTTATTTTTCAGTATTTAAGAATACTGTTTGTTTGTATGCTTCTATTATCAGTGCTATTTTTTAGCTTTGTGTAACATATACTTCAGAACAGAACATTCATTAGTGCTTACTAGTTGTGTTGCCTCCCACTCAATTCCATTTGCAGCAGTTGAAATGAAATCAGTTAGATTTATGACAGAAACAGGGATGGATAAGTGTTGCATGGTGATTCCTTCCTCTCTGTGAGTCACACAGTTAATTCTGCTCCCCCATCGACTGTGTAACATGTCCTCTTCCATAAATTAGTGGTGATAGAGGAACCTGAGGTTTGGGGTGCACCCCTGCCTGAGCAACACCTAGACTCCTCTCTGGCAAGACCTTTTCCTACAGAAAGTAAGTCATTGCTTGTGTGGCATGATTGCCATCATCCTGGTATCATAAACCCATATGTTCCAAAACAGTGAACGGTTGTCTGAGTGGAAAAATCATGATTGCCTCCAAATTTTTATTTTAATAACTTTCCCTTTGGCAGTCTCCATTAACCTACTAATTTCTAAGTCATTAGCCAGGAAAACAGACTAAATCCTGAGAGTCATCCAGCTCATCTTGTACTCATGTCATTTGGTGACGGTTTACTCAACGTGGCCTATTTTTATGTCTGCCTAAACGTCTAAAAAGCTAAATGACACTGAGCCTAACGTGTGGCTTGATTTAAGCTTAAGGCTAAATTAAATTTGGCTTGCTAATAGTGATATATTTCTAAATGTATTTTTAAATAAATGTGTCAATACTAGGGCTTGTGTGACTACTAATATTTTTTACTAGATGACTAGTCATCTAGGAAAGTAGTCAACTGCAAAATGAGTCGGTGTTTACCTTATGTAAATGACTGAAAGAATGGTCTGACAGCCAGCTGGAAAGTTTGTCTAACACAGCTAACATGATGTAGGTGAGAAAGTTTAAAACGGTAAAGCGCTCCAAATATTTGCCCATTACAAGTTACTACTCAAGGCTAATAACATGCAACTGAACTGGGATGCAATTTTCAGGCAGAGGAATTATCTTCCTGTTGTCGCCACATAAAGACTAGACTAAAAACCGCTTTATTTATCCATTATACTCTGTGAGAATCATATTAAGCGTGATATTATAAAGACATGTTATAAATCATTAAAATAATAATAATAATAGAAAAACAGATTTGTCATTGTTAAAAACTAGGAATGTCAATAAAATAAATGATTTCTGACCAGTTAATTGAAAGCAGAACACAATGGTAATGATGTAAGCTTCGGTGTTTGTGTTATTAAAAATACAGTGTTAATTAAGCATATTTATTATTTTATAAACATGTTTTTTTAAAGCTCTTATAAAAAAAATTCTGGACCTCTAAGCAACCTTGCAGCCCCATGATGGTCCACATGCCCCAATTTGAAAACCCCTGGACTAAAGGACTAATTATAGAAAGTATAGACTAATTGACTAGTCTGTGCAAGCCCTAGTAAGTGCATACTAAACAAATAAGTGATGTTTCTACATATATTAACAAAAAAAAAATGTAACATCCTAAATAATATGAAAACAGTGTGAATAGTTGGTCACAAAGAGTGAAGTGTTATCATAGAGTCTGAGCTATTCATCCCATGCCACAGTCCTTGTTGTCCCTGACTACCTGAATGAGACCTTGCCTTTGCATGGTGCTGTGGGGCATGGAGGCATGGGCTACAGGGGGGGTGGAGGGGTGTATGTGAGAGCTTGTCTCAGCCGCACTAATGTCATTGCAGCTCTGCCTCCGCTTCCACCTAAGAATGTGCCGACCTCCCCCCCTCCGATTGAATCTCCTGCTACAGAACCTACCGGTAAGATGCCCTCCCCACCCAGGCCTCAGTCTATACCAGGGGTGTCTAATCCTGCTCCTGGAGGACCCCGGTTCTGCAGGCTGTATTTCCAATCCCAATTAACCAGATAATCATGGTCTTGAGGAATACTAGAAACTTTAAGGCAGGTTTGTTGGGGCACTTTGGAGCTAAACTATGCAGGAAGTTGGCCCTCCAGGAGCAGGTTTGGACACCCCTGGTCTATATAAATATCTGACCCCAATGAGTGTGTGTCTGGATTCATTTGTGCTTGTCTTTTGGTACGCTGTCTTGTAAATATCTCTTTTGTAGGGAAGAGCTTTACTTGGTATCTCTTGCCTTTTCCTTTGTCTTTCCTTCTGCTTTTAGTCTGCTTATGATTTTTCTTCATATTTTAGCAGTTTCAAGTTTTAATGTTTTTGTTTACAATGTTTCTGTAATCTCTGCAGGTAATTTCTGTGTAAAGTGTGATGGTTCTCTTAAAGTTTTATTTAATCTGAGCAGATTGGCTTATATAGGTCATTTCTGAGGCTATTCCAGTCAAGTATCATACATTCTTGAATGTACAATCATTTTATTTGAATTGGGAAGAAATCTTAATTGAGCTTGATGCATGTTACTCTTTGAATGGCTTTGCTTTAATGGAATACTCTCGCTCCACAGGCTCCTCCTCTCCTGCACGTCCTTCTTCGCCATTAGCTACCAGCAGCTCTCCTCCTCCCCCTCCCCCTCCCCGGCCACCTTCACGACCAAAACTGCCTCCTGGAAAACCAAGTGTAGGGGACGTGGTACGTGATAACATAAAAAAATGTACAGTACTTTCAAATACTATTACTGTGCCTGTTAGCTTCCTACAAATTCTCAATGTCACTGACCTTTTCATAGACTATGTAATTTGTTTTACTTTTATAGGATGTCAGAACTCACCCCTCAAAATACCAGACCAAGCCTAGGTTGATATTTACTACCCATGTAATATATTTTAAATAAAAACCTTAAGTTTAGTGAAACAAAATACAAGAAACACTGCCACAGCGTGCTTTGTGTAAATTTCCTCCTGATCATCTGACCAGAATGACAAACCCTTACTCTTTTATTACTAACTTTCCTTCTGTCTGTTCCTTCTTTCCCTGCTTTTCCTGTCAGAATCGGCCATTCAGCCCCCCTGTACACTCGTCAAGTCCCCCTCCTTTGGCTCCGTTGGCCCGTGCAGAAAGCACCTCTTCAATCTCCTCCACCAACTCTCTGAGTGCAGCCACCACTCCCACCGTCGGTAAAGAGCTCTCCGTGTCTGTGTCAGGTGTGACTCCATTTCCCATCATTCTCTCTGCTTTGCCATGCTGCTCTGTCTATATGTGTACACTCTGGAAACTGCCTTTCTTACTAGAATTTGCCATAACAAGGGCATCTGTTTCTCAAGGGCCTCTCTTTCTCAGTATTTAGCATGGTTTTGAATTCACTGTCGTAATAGTTTCACAGCTTTGGCTTTAGTTTGGACCAAAACAGTATGGTGATGATGCTGTTGAGTTTAAAATACTGAAGTGAAATCTCCAGCATTCTGCATTGATTAATTGGTTTGCTAAAAATACAGATTTGCTGATACACCACATAATAGTTTGTATTTCAGTTTGTCTTTTGTCATATTTAAGTGGAAATATTGTTAGGATTAATTGGATATTATAGATCAGGGGTCTCCAACCTTTTTTACACCACGGACCAGTTATATTTGGAAAATATTCTCGCGGAGCAGCTGGAGTGGGGTGGGGTTTATATATATATATATATATATATATAATTTTAGATCATATTGTGGTTTTGAGTCACGGATCAGATTTTTTAGATATTATAGATCAGGGGTCTCCAACCTTTTTTACACCACGGACCAGTTATATTTGGAAAATATTCTCGCGGAGCAGCTGGAGTGGGGTGGGGTTTATATATATATATATATATATATAAATTTAGATCATATTGTGGTTTTGAGTCACGGATCAGATTTTTTAGATAAGCAAGAAAAAATATATTTAAAGCAGAGAATGAAAATGCTGAGAAGGGTTTTTTGACATAAGCTAATTTGAGATACGATAGATTTCTTTTGCATATCTGACAGTGTAACATTAAGCATTAGTATTTCAAATGAGTTAAACCTGTATCCTGTCTTCTGAGTAACATTGAGAATATCACTATATATTGTTGCAATACCACCACCACGACCAGTCTGACGGGGCTCATGCTTATAATAGTAGCTTGGTGGAGTAGACTCATTTAGACCAATATAATCATTAGGTTTTAGCCAGGTTTCAGTCAAGAAAAGCAAGAAAAAATATATTTAAAGCAGAGAATGAAAATGCTGAGAAGGGTTTTTTTGACATAAGCTAATTCTATGTGTATGAATCTCAAACGCAAGGAGACGTGAAAGATGAATCAACTCGGTATTCGCGCACTGTATGAAACACGTCTCTGTGCGTGTGCGTGCTTCGGGTGCATTCGGCTGCTATGCACAGAAAACAGTGCGTGAGTAACGAATCGAGCTCTCTTTCGCTTCTTCTCGTGGTTTAAAATAGCTTGAACTTGTAAATTGTCAAATTAATCTGTAAATCACATGTGTGCCGAACTGTGGGGCCTGATCCATATGTATCACAGATCAATGATGATCCATTTAACCCCTAATATATGACAGATCAGAACAATCATTCATTTAATTGAACATTTAATTTACATGAAATCATCAAAAAGATGAAATGTGGCTGGGTCTTTCAGCATGACAATGATCCCAAACACACCGCCCGGGCAACGAAGGAGTGGCTTCGTAAGAAGCATTTCTAGGTCCTGGAGTGGCCTAGCCAGTCTCCAGATCTCAACCTCATAGAAAATCTTTGGAGGGAGTTGAAAATCTGTGTTGCCCAGCGACAGCCCCAAAACATTACTGCTCTAGAGGAGATCTGGATGGAGGAATGGGCCAAAATACCAGCAACAGTGTGTGACAACCTTGTGAAGACTTACAGAAAACGTTTGACCTCTGTCATTGCCACCAAAGGGTATATAACAAAGTATTGAGATGAAATTTTGTTATTGACCAAATACTTATTTTCCACCATAATTTGCAAATAAATTTTTTAAAAATCCTACAATGTGATTTTCTGGATTTTTTTTTTCTCATTTTGTCTCTCATAGTTGAGGTATACCTATGATGAAAATTACAGGCCTCTCTCATCTTTTTAAGTGGGAGAACTTGCACAATTGGTGGCTGACTAAATACTTTTTTGCCCCACTGTATATGACAGATCAGAACAATCATTCATTTAATTGAACATTTAATTTACATGAAATCATCAAATTGCAACTCCAGAGCTATCGCATACAACAAACGAAAATACAGAATAATTAGAACAATCATTAATGTGCAATAAAAAACAGAGTGTCATATCTATACACATTTTTCCCAGAATGTCCTTGCGACCCGGTGGCAACACTTCCGGTGGTTGGGGACCTTTGGTATAGATAAAAAGATTTAATCTGTCTTTGCATTGTAGAAAATAAACAAAGACCTAAAAAGACATATTTTACAATTTAAAAAAAAAATTACTATAAACAGATAACAAACAAACCTAATAAGCTGTTTGTGTCTTTGCTGGACTTTTTGAAATGCCATGTATGGCATCTGCTGTACCAGTTTGAATGCTTTTATTGGATGCTTTCATTGATGCTGGACAAGTAGTTTTTTGTTCTGTATTTTCAGTATCAGCATTCCTGAGGTTTGCAAACTACTTTGTCTTGTGAAGCAAGAGTTTTTGATTCTAGAGCTTTTGATGTATGTAGATCTATCTGTTTGCATGTGCTATTCCTTCCTTTTGGATTTTTTTCAGCTTTGGTCTTATATATTTTTTTAACCATTCCATTTTTTTCTTCAGTTTTCATCTTTTTTTTTATTTTAAATGTGTGCTGTGCGTTCATTGTGACGCCTGAGTTTAATGACTGTGACCTTTTTGGTTTTCTTTGCAACTATTTGTCATTTAATTTGAATTACGTTTATTTTTTGTTTTTGTTTTGTCGTCTTTCTTGTCCTGTCTTTTGGGCTGACGTAATTGTCTGATGTCAGAAGATGACGCTTTTGTAGACAAACTTCCCAGCTTTGAGAGATGGGCAGACATGCCAGCAGGTATGCTATAAACCCTTCCTGATTTAAAGGATGGGATTGAGACCACTGATTCAACAATGTAACAAATGGTTACATTTCCCATAGTGTCAGTTGTCAGAGCATAGCTCATATATGGTGATCTTTTGCATTTTCACCAGTGACTAAATTAGTCAATAAGATAGCAAATTAGTTGATTTTCACGTAAAGAGTCGTTAAAGGAATTTTCCGGGTCATTTATTACTTAATGTCCATGGGCAGAATCTGTGGCTCATTGTTGATTACAGCACTTATAATGGAAGCTTGGCATTAAAGCTGCCAGCACAGCCAATAAACTTTTAAAATATGTTACTCTCACAGTACAAACCATAACTAATGGAATGGATGCTTGATAGCAGACTGGTGTGTTAAAACTGCACGCAGCCTTGTTTGTGCAAAGTTATATAACTCATGTCTGCAAACTTATGTTTTGCTGATACATTTGGTAACCAGAAAATTCTCCATATAAACAGGTAGTCTCACATCAAACAGATAATTTAGACAAATTTACGGTTTAATCAAAAATGGATAGTTTGTATTATCAACCCTGATTGGATGAGCTACAGTTGAAGCTGAAAAATTATTGTAAAATAAAATAATAATAAACACACATGTGTCCAGAAATTCTACATTAATTTCATAATAATAATAATAATAATGCTTGACAGCTGCAAAATCCTACAGTTTGGTTATTGAACTATTTTTTTACTTGGCAGAAGAATTATAGCAGTTATTATTAATAAAAATTAAACATTAATTAAAAATGTCTTTTATCATATTGCTGTTGCTGTTGTTGTATGAAATGATGCATTTTGTTTATTTTTTTATAAACTTATTTTTTATGTAGTGATCAGCAGCATTCCTCAAATTCTATCCATTAAACAAAATGGTAAATACTCAGAATATTCCTTTAACTCACCAAAGACTGTTCAGCATTTTTAGCATATCTGTTTTGAAAAGTGTTTTTTTCCCTCTACTTTTGTCATGTTGATTACAGTCCAACACTATTTGCCGCAGTATTTACTTCATCCATTTTTAATTCTTCCTGTCATATTTTGCTCTTCACATCCATAAAAGAAGACATGTCTGTAGCTCATCATGCATGTTAGAGATTGCTTCGCCTGTATCAGTTACGCAACATCCCACATCTTACATCTGCACTCAAGAACCAGGAACAGAAGGATCTTATAGTCCTTGAAAATCATCTGTCTGGCTGTAGACTCTTCAGAAAACTAAAAGAGCACCACCATCCTGCTTGAACAGATGAGACAGACACACACACACATGCACACACAGCCTCTCAGTGTTTGAAGTGCGGTCTGGAATTTGGCCCAAGTGGCAGCAGAGCTGATCAGTATGCCTGCCGTCACACTAGTTTGAATGGAAAGCTCTCTGATGTTGCACCTGGGTAAAAGCATTGCTAACATCGTCATGCTGCAAATGTCAAGCTTTACTGCCACATAATTTTAATCCTCACAGGTGAAATTCACATCTTTAAATTTTATCATCAACATCCACACCACCTATGCTGCATTTCATTCAAAATCAAATGTAGAATATTCCTACCTGATATTTCCAACCATTAAGTGCCTGATGCTTGGAGGATAAGGAAACAAAATGACATTGCCTTTATCTTTGCAATCGTTTAATTGTCAATAATTCCAATATATTGTCAAATGAAGTAAAAACATATAAGAAACCAGATAAAAATAGAAATCAGAATCAGAATCAGAATTAGCTTTATTCGCCAGGTGTGCAAACACACAAGGAATTTGTTGTGTTTTTTTAAGGTGTGCCTGGTACATACATACATGCATACATACACATTTGACATGAGAACAGAAAAAAAAAAACATTTAAATAGTAAAACCTAACAATAAATAATGTGTATGAATCTGGAACAGTAGATTTATGTACAGATTTGTGCGTCATTTACTCTATATAGAACTGTATAAATAAAGAGATATGCATATGTATTTACATAATACTTGAGAAAGAGGCATTAATTAAGGATGAAGAATGAATTATGGAAATGAATTACAGAACGCAGGTAATGGTTCATATTTTAGCTGTTTAAGCTTGAATATGAATCATTACCTGCGTTCTGTAATTCATTTCCATAATTAATTCTACATCCTTAATTAATGCCTCTTTCTCAAGTATTATGTAAATACATATGCATATCTCTTTATTTATACAGTTCTATATAGAGTAAATGATGCACAAATCTGTACATAAATCTACTGTATTAACAATTTAATGTATTAACATGTATATCTAGCTCATACAAATCAAGCGTAGCGTTAGTTCTGGCAGGTCACGTTAGTCAAGCTCGCATCAGCTGACTCTCAGCTGATCCCCATCAACCTATGGGAATACGACACCTAAGTATTCATATATAAGGTCCCGCAGTAGTATCAGCAGTTTTCGCATTGCTCAATAGCTAATTACCCTCCTCCATCCCCAACTCCTCCTCTGTCAGTCAGGATTCAGTCTTCTGATTCTCCTTTGAATCAGACTAATTCTAAAATGTGTACATAACATTATTGAACTTTAACGATATCTGCAGTACATTTATGTTGGTTCTGTTTTGTTTACCCTGGGGGGGGGGGGACGAATATGGGGTGCTGTGTGTACATTAATGAGGAAAAAAAATTAACTTAAATGATTTTAGCAAATGGCTGCAATATAACAAAGAGTGAAAAATGTAAGGGGGTCTGAATACTTTCCGTACCCACTGTATGTATAATATATGTCCATCCTAAAATCTGACAATACATGGTAATTTTTTTAATTCATTGTAAGTTTGTTAGAATTTAGACTCATTGATTTGTTTTACTTGCTTAAAAGTAGATGTTTGTTTATATATATATA